GGGGCCCCACCCCGGGTCCGCTTGGGGCCGGTGGGGGGCGCCAGGCCAGGGTTGTCGATGTAGTCGTTCTCCACGTGGCTGGTCTTCATCTGGTCGATGGGGAGGATGGTGAGTGGGTGCTGGAGCCGGCTGTGGGGCACGCGGCTGTCGAGAAGGGGCTGGACCATGACTGAGCTGGGAGTCAAGGGGGCGGTCTGTGGGATCGGGGGCTCCATGGGGCTGGAGGTCCTGGACAGCACTGAGAAACAGGCTTCTAGGGGCCCTGGGGGTGGGGGGAGGAAGAGAGAATGGATTCCAGGCGTCAGTGTTTGGCCTGTTAATACCCCCATCCCCATCAGGTGCTTGGGAGCCCAAATGAAATGGGAACTGGTTTCCTTTGGTGGAATCTCCAGAATTAAGGCTTAGATGATTAATAATGACAACAACAGTAATGGTAAGTGGTAGGAATTACACTTACTTAGCTCTTAACAAGTACCATGAATATCAAGTCACTGACTCTTCACAATAACCTTGAAACATACCTACTATTATTATCCCTGTTCTAGCCACAGGGAACTAATGTTCAAAGTAATTGGTCCACAGTCGCACAAAACGATCAGCAGCAGAACCAGGACTCAAACCTGAGTTCATTCTTGTAGTCCCTGCGAACCATGCTCCTCATTTAAGACAGATCGCTCGATGGCGATCAACACAGGCTCTGGAATCAGATCCCAGTTCGAATCCTCCCTTCTGTGCCTAACAGTGTTGCCACGAATGAGGTTCTTTAACCTCTCTCTATGCCTTAGTTTTGCCAACTGTAAAATGGGTTCCCGTGAGGATTACATGAGAAAATGGACATCCAGTCCCTAACATCTTGCCTGGCATACAGCAAGTGCTCCGTAATTTATCACCATCCCAGAGCGCAACAGTGTGGATTTCCTGAACACTGTTAAGCACAACGAGCCAAGCGTTGTGCTGAGGATGTGGTGACCACGAGAGAGACAGCCCCTGTGTGCTCCCGTCAGGTTTATCAGCTGGATAAACACAAGCCTTTATTTCAGTCACAAGAGAAGGAAGGGCCCTATCTGATGCCTGCACGTCCGGGATATTAACTTATTAGCAGCACTTCTAAGAGCAGCAACCTCCAGCGGCTAATAACCCATGGGTAGGTGAGCTTCTGACAACTTGGATGGGAAATCCTCTCCAGGGGCACTCACATCGCCCATTTCCAAGTGCTGAGCTGAACATTCAGCCTAAATGCTATTTACTAGAATAGCTAAGCCAACCCTGGACCAGTTTCTAATTTCACTGAGAGAGTGCAATTTTAAGTTGGAATCCTGCCAGAGATTCAACTGCAGGGCCTGACACGGAACCCCAGGAAGTCACTTAAATCAAAGAGCGGAAACGGCTTGGTTCAAATTTAGAAAGTGCACATTGTTTTCTATTAGAAGTGCCATTTCCTCGCCTGCTGACCTTTACATTCGGAATTCGGCTGGAGATCAATTTAAAGAAATAGCAGCAGAAGGCCAAGACCTCTGCCCAAGGGGACATGATTTGGAATCCAAGAGAAAGATTAGACTCTGGGAAGATTCCACGGGGGGTGGGGGGGGTGGGAGACAAAACAGGGTGTGCAGATAGAAGGGAGATATAATCATCTTTAAAAAAAAAGGGGGGGGTGGGCCACTGGAGTAATGTGTTACGGGTGGGGTTTCGGGAAATGCTTTTTCAAGATGCTAATGATGTTCTAATTAGGAGAGCAGATCCTGCGCCTCAGCTGTTAGGTTCATCTTCTCTCAAAGGTGATGCCTATGAGGGGATGTGGATGGATAGGTTTCCACTTCCCCACACGGCTCCAGGCTTGGGACACAGTCGGTCCATCGCAATATTCCAATTACAGGAGAATGACACCTTGCCCGGATGACTCATCCATACTTCTCAATGTCTATAGTAAGGAATGAAGAGGAAATAAGAAAGGCATTCAGGGCAACTCAGCATTGTATTTCCCCTTCTTGGAAACAGTGTTTTGATCAGCAATGGTTAAATCAGCCGTGGGCAAACTACGGCCCGTTTGAAATGAATAAAACTAAAAAGACCGCACCCTTTTATATAATGATGTTTACTTTGAATTTATATTAGTTCACACAAACACTCCATCCATGCTTTTGTTCCGGCCCTCCGGTCCAGTTTAAGAACCCATTGTGGCCCTCGAGTCAAAAAGTTTGCCCACCCCTGGGTTAAATGGTCAGGGAAGGGCTTCCTTAGATGCTTTCCAGCCCGTCTGAAGTAAAGAGCTAGCTCTAGATGCGAAGTTCACGAAGGGGATGGGATGAAAGGGGGCTTACCCACAGGCTCCTCATCTGTGCATCATCTATACTGCCAAATGCAAGGGGAAAAAAGCCTTTTCTACAAGGTTCAATGCTCAGTCAACTGATCTTTCCCGTTCACATAGGGCATGAACTGTTGGCTTAGCTCCCACTGTCTACCTACATAAAAGATGCTGGTATTTCTGTGCATGGTTTCTCCCATCTTGGAAAGTCTGCCTCCTGCCTCCATGTTTTCTCCCTATGAAAAGAGCATCATCTTCAAACGGGAGACTTCGTCATGGCAGTCGGCCCTAAGTGCCTGGCAGGTCTGCCAACCAAGTAGTCATTTGCCAAGGCGGCCTCTGTGGTCAGGGCTGGATGGGGGGATGGCAAATAAGCATCTATGGAGAGTTTTCCAAGGATCAGGTTGGCCATGGGGGGTGGGGGGAACTTCAGGGAATGCTACCTCAGCCCACTTACCCTTTGCAGGGGTTCCAAAGCCTTGCCTCTAGAATAAATGGGTTTGGGATCAACAGAAGAGGGTTAGGAGCCCCACGTCCTTTGCTTGGAGGAAAAGGTGATGAGGCGTAAGAATGGAAAATGCTGACAGGGGCACAGGATGAGACTCTCTGGAGCCAGCCAAGAGGTGCCTCAGCCTGAACCCCCACCCCAGACAAAGACAACTCGATTCCCTTATTCCAGAAGCTCAGGTCACAAATACTCAGGGTCCTGCCAACAAAATGTCAGTGGTGGCTTGAAGGCTGTATTGCCCCATGTCATTGGGCTTTGGTCTCTTAGGACCAGGATTGGGACTTGCCATGCTGTGGGAAGGAGGGGTACGCCCTCCCCAAGCAGATGATCCACTCTCCTTTCCCCAATTCTAGTCCTGGGGTTCTTTAAAAACAACCATTTTCTGCCCTAACTGGTTTGGCTCAGTAGATAAGAGCACTGGCCTGCGGACTGAGGGTCCCGGGTTTGATTCCGGGCAAGGAGACATGCCCAGATTGCAGGCTTGATCCCATGCAGGAGGCAGCCAATCAATGATTCTCTCTCATCATTGATGTTTTCTTCTCTCTCTTTCCCTCTCCCTTCCTCTCTGAAATCAATAAAAATATATTTAAAAAACACACAAAGAAAACAACCATTTTCTGTGGATGAAGCAAAAGGCACGAGCAATGCTCAGAGATTTTAACAGGCTCTGTCTGTAATCAGAAGATAGATTCACTAAAAAAGTCCCATGGAAAAGTCCCACCAGGAGGCCAGGATGGGAGCAGGGCCTGCAGGGAATGGAGATATTGGCATTTAGAAGGCTCCCATCACCTTCCAGGGGCAGCTGTCAACATCTGGGCCTGCATTTAGGGCCAGACATGGGGGTGGAGCTTGGTCCACAATGACTCAGCTCTCTTGGGACAGGCTGCATGCAAGATGGCTCCAGCAGGTATATTCTAAAATGCATCTTCCCTGAAATCCAAAACACTAATTCAAAAAGACATATGCACCCCTATAGTCATTGCAGCATTATTTACAATAGCCAAGATATGGAAGCAACCTCAGTGTTCATTGACAGACAAATGGGTAAAGATATGGTGCATGTGTACAGTGGAATATTACTTAGCCATAAAAAAGAATGCAATCTTACATTTGTGACAACATGGATGGACCTAGAAGGTATAAGTGAAATAAGTCAGACTAAAACAGGTACCATATAATTTCATTTATATGTGGAATCTAAAAAAAAAATAAATGAAGAAACAAAACAAACTCATATTCAAAGAACAAACTGACAGTTGCCAGATGGGAGGGAGAGTTGTCTGAAAAAAGTGGAAGAGATTTAAAATATAAATTGTCAGTTATAAAACCAGTCACAGGAATGTAAAGTACGGGATAGGGAATATAGTCAATAATATTGTAATGACTATATATGGTGTCCGATGGTACCAGACTTACCAGGGTGATCCCTTTGTAAGGTACACAAATGTTTAATCACTATGTTGTACACCTGAAACTAACTGTAATTGAAAAAGAAAACAAAATTTTTAAAAACAAAATATTTTTTTCTAATTAAAAAAATAACACACAACTTTCCTATCATAACCCAGATACAGGATTCCTTCTGGCCACTAGCTAGCTCAGCAAAAACTACCTGCTGGCTAAGCAGCTGCAGGGCTCACACCTTCTCAGGCCTCATGGCCTCACCTCCCCATTAGCAGGGACCTCCACAGGAGGGCTGAATTCATTTGGCTGACAAAGAAAAACAACTTCCGGAACTGCCAGTTAGATAAACCCCCTCAGCACAGCTAAATGAAGTCTCAAGAAAACCAACAAAAAAAACCCCCGAAAAACAACCCAAACCTCAATTGGTTTAGAAGATCAATCTCTACTCCCAGGACACACCCACCCTCCAGAGTGTAAGCAAGGCTGAGGCTGATGAACTTTAAGTGCAGTTTAATATGTACTCTGCTTCCCCTGCAAGGAAGGAAGGATTTATAATATAAATAGGAGGAGGCTTTGCCTCGTTTAGGCTGTTTGGAAGACTGATGGCCAATTTGGAAGACTATGGACAGAGAAACAAAGCCAGCACTCCACTTAGACAGAGAAGCACCTCTACTGAGTTTTAGGTGATGGGCCTATGGATTAGCACGAGGAAAGAAAACTTTCACTCCACTCCAACCTTCTAATAATAATAATAATTATTATGGAAGCAGCTAATATTTATGAAACATTTCTGGGTGTTAGGCTCTGTGATAAGCCCGCGATGATTTTCCCACTTAATCCTCACCAGCACCTTGGAGGATCACTCCCATTTTGCTGAGGAAGAAGTGGAAGAAAAAAGGGCCATAGAGCTGGCAAGGGATCAGGGAAGGGCTCAACCCCAGAGAGCAGAAGCTCCAGACATTGCAACGTCAGCCCTGACTTACAGTAGTAACTTCTGGTTATTCGTGGAAAAGCATGAAAGCGCCAATCATTTTCACAGCCATGAACTCTACCAGTCTCCCCAGGCGGCCACCAGCCCTTGGGGAATGACATCAGGCTTTTAACCAAACCAGCAGGGAAATGAAGCCAATGCAGGCTGACATGAGCCTGGCCCCCAGGTAGGGGGAAATTTTCGGTGTGGCAAGTGGAGGCTGGGGGTTTGAAATCTGCCATGAAAAGAAGGCTCAGAGCTCAATTATTACCTTCACTTCCAATTCTGTTTTCTTTGCTATCCCTTCTGTCAACTCACTGCCTCTCCCCCAGTTTACTAGGTGTTTTTATTTTTAGTTTTCTTAAAAAGTTGAATGGTCTCACTTGTAGGACCCTCAACCACCAAGGAGCCCCTAAGAGGAAACCCAGGAATGGGAGGGAATCCCCTCTCCTCCACCTGTAAAGCTGAACTTAAGGGTCCCTAGGGCTGTTCGTGGAGGGTGCATCCTGGCCCAGGGCTGTGGAGAAGGGAAAGAGCAGCCAGGGTCGGAGGAAGCCAGAAAAACAGAGTCCTAGCAGACTGAACCGGCAGGAGATTGGAAAGCCCAGAGCACACAGCCCTATACTTGCAGCTTGGCCGTCTGCGGGCCTGACACGGCTTTAGTACCTGTGGGGAGGGGCTGAGCCGCAGGCCCCCAGGAACCGGCAGAGCATGTTAAATGTCATGCTGGCACCACCCACCCACCCCTTCCCCTTGACTTATCCTGGGGAGAGGAGTTGGGAAATACTAGGAAAAGGCTGAAAACTGCAGGTCAGTTAGAGACAAACTGGAAGAGGCTCTGAATGAATGGGCACTTTCTGCACTGCCCATTCAGTCTCAGCAGGTTCTTTCAGGGAAGGTTGTTTAACCCTTTCACAGCTCAGAAAAAAAGGTCTCTAGTCTGCCAGAGAGCCCGCCCACCACTGTCCACCACTATTGCTTGGTTCTTTGTGACAACATCCCAGTTTAGTTAATTAAGTTCCAACCAAATAATGACTTATTGCTTCAAAAAGACTTTAAAGAGGAGGGGGAGGAAACCCAGGGACTTGGCTGCCCTACGCCCTACTGAGGAAGACAATCTCCGCAGCTTTGCTCAGAATGGCCTGGTTGAGAGGAAAAAGCATTTAGGCAGCTGGATCTGTCTGAGAATCCTTGCTCTCCGCCCTACCTCCCACTCCAGCGCCGGCACTAGGGAGCTCACCTCTGGCCACAATCTGTTAGATATCACAAAAGAAAACAGCTGCTTTTCATCACTTGGTCCCATCACCGGCTATCGGTTCCCAACCCTCTTCTCTTCCTCTTCCACAACCAATCAGCTGAACTGCAAAGGCCCTGCTCCAGGAGGAGTGAGAGAGAGAGAGGTCTTGCACTTTGGCTCTGGGCTATTCTAATTGGCTTCAAATTTCAGCTTCAATCTATTACCCCCATAATTGTTGTCTGCTCAGATCCCCTTTAAGAGGGATTAAAAGTCAAGAGTCAGAGAAGAATGGGGCTAGAAGAAGTCTGTTAACACTGGAACAATTGGCCCACATCAAAGTGTGTGTGTGGGGGGGGGGGGGGGGGGGGTGCAGAAGCCTAGACCCCCAGGGCTCCCTCTTACTGAGGCCCGAGATCATTTTATCTTACCACCTCCGGGAACAGATGAACTGATCATAATTGATTTTTAGCTTACTCCTGGGATGGGGCAGGAAGTGACCCAGCCAGAAAAAGACTACCTGACGAGGGAAACCACTCTTCTGCAAATGGCCACCTGCCCCTGAAGGGCCTCTTCCCTCCTCCACCAGATCCAGCACATCTGTGCTCCCTCCCCAGTGCCCTTGCTTCCTCCACGACCGTCCTTGGAAAGAACAATCGTGATCACAGCTGAACGGTGGAGCTCCTTAAGCCCAGCCACATGTCCCGGATACAACCACAGCCTTGTCAGCTGTCCGGATCTGCAGGGTGGCCCCAGACCAGAGAGCCAAGAATATGCCGCCTCTTACATCACGCAACACCCCACACCTCCTGTGTAGGAAGGGGGCCCCTTCCACTAGGGGCTCAGTAGTAACGAATAGCACGGTCCCAGCCCTGCACACTTGCTAGCTGCTCTGCTGACCCTGGCCCCGTGGGAGGAGTTCTTCCTCCCCATTCTGCAGATGGGAGACTAAGGCGCGAGCTAAGCAGGTTTCCTGGCCACCATCTGCTCTGACCCAGCCCCCAGCTTGGTCTGGAAGGAGTGAAACAGTTTTCAGTATGTTGCTCTATCACCTTCTTTCTCTGGCTCTTTGGAAAAAGCAAAAATCTGTCCCAATGAGTCACTGCTTTCCCTTCTGTCAAGGAGATCCAGGTTGGCCAAGGGATGGAACCTTCTCCACTCCTGCCATTCTCCTTCCTTATCTATATCCCAGATCCAAATGTTCAACCAGATCCAGGTTTGTGCAAGAATCCTTCCCCCAAGTTTTCCTCACAAGGGAACTTCTACATCAGAAGGGACCCATGGCAGGCACTGTGGGTTCAGAACCAACTGAGTGCCATGGGTGCCATCACTGTCTGAGAACGTGGAGGGAGGGGGCTCCTTGCTAAGCCTCCTTGGTACCAACACCCAGGACCTACACAAATGGATGGTTTGGGGGGGGCCCAGAAATGGGGGCTGGAAGATGTCACACCAAAGGGCTTTCAGCGGCAGGAACTGGAAGAGAAATCCCCATATAAGATGCCAAAGTATTAAGCCTTAGAGTAGCACCCCTCAAGGGCCACTTCCGGTGTGTGCGCGCGCACGCGCTAATGGGTTTTTTCTGCCCTTAATTTTTAAGTCACTGACTACCAAATTTTGCACTGAAAGGCTGCCTTTATTTGTTATTCAAATCAGTGAAAAACTCTGCACTGTGGGGTTTACCAGAATGGTGTGTGTGTGTGTGTGTGTGTGTGTGTGTGTGTGTGTGTTGCTGGTGGTGGTGAGTAAAGAGTATGACCTGGACAGAGGGTGCAATTCCAAAGAGCCTCATCTGTGTACCTATTCTGGAAGGATGAAAAAAATGATATGAGAGCTCCAAATGGTCACCATCCCCACTCTCTGCCCTGCTTTAGCCAGGAATCATTTTATTCTGTGTGTCCTGCCTCCTCCCACCAAGCCCAACCAAAGCTTGGAGACCTTACCCTTCCACAGGCTAATCTGGAAAAGGCTGTGGGAATGAGGAGAGCATTTACACTCCACACAAAGGGGATGACTCCTGAGCTCAGAATCTAAAAGGGAAGATAACCAAGAGATATCTTTAAAGTGTTCCTCTCCCTAGCTGACCAACACGTGTCCATCACGATTTCAAAAATCCGCCTCCAAAAAGCCCCCTACCCAGTACTGGCCACGCAGCTCAGTGGGTCAGTGTGTGCACTGCTCACATTAGGATTCGCCTGGAGCCTGCTGGCAAGTGAGGACCCTCCCAAGGGCTGGGAAAGAGGAAATTCAATTTCACACAGGACATGTCTACTACTTCTTTCCCACCATTCTGGAGAGAGAGAGAGAGAGAGAGAGAGAGAGAGAGATGCAGAGGCCGCCAACTACAGACCTCCCTTTCCTAGTCTGCCCCACACCCACACACGAAAGGGAAAAAAAGCTGAAAATTTCAGATGTTTATGCTCCATTCCTGTGAAGATCCAGAGAACTCTAAACATTGTGAAATCACCAGTGCAATATTGGGTAGGGCCTCAGGCCAGACCGAGCTCATTAAGAGATTGATAAACCCGGACTTCCTAGAGGCTCTGGGCCTCCAGCTTACAGCCTTGTGTTTCCAAGAGGCTCATCAGAAAGACTGGAGAGCCTTGGTCAGCTAATAACCAGACAGACATACACTTGCTCCTGCCCCTCCCCAAACTGGAGAGAATCAACGCCACAGATTTGGAAGCAGGAAAGAGGGGCTTCTCTACTGAGTCTGGCCACTCCACTGAACCCCACGCCTTTCCTTTCAGCACTAACCATGCTGGAGTGGGGGTGGGAGGGGGCTCCCACAGCCTCCATAGGCCATAAGGCTGCCTCCTGCCCTCACCCAGGCCTGGCAATATGGATGCCCATCCAGCAGCTGTCAGCTCTCCCCTCTCCCCACCATCCAGCCCCTCCAGCCCAGTACCTTCTCCTCCCATTGGTTGCAACCATTGCTTCCAAGCCATGCAACCATTTTCTGCCTCTCTTGCCTCCTCTACCCACAACCCCCAGCCCCCAATCAAAGAGAATTGAGAAACCGTCTTCTTGCACAAGAACAGCTACTGTCTAACTGCTTTTTGATCGTCTGCATAGAGGGGGAACTGGGCATAGCCCTGGCCCCAGTGATGGAGCCAAGCTCCAGCTGCCCTGGCTGGCCAAACCCGCCCTCGCCCCCCTTCACTGACCCGTGGCCTTGGCGGCTCAGGTTTTTTCAGAACGTACCGTCTCTATCCTTCTCTCTTCTCAGTGATGTCAAGCTGGTACCACCAAGAAGGAAGGGGCAAAGCGGGAGCCTTATCTCTCCTACGCACGCAACCTCTTCCTCCAGCTCCCACACGCCCGGCGTTATGTAAACGCACCTACAGCCCCAGAGCGGCCTGGGGGCCTCGGGGCCTGGCACAGTTCGGTGCCCGGGGATAGGGAGGCACGAGGAGGCCGGGGAGCCTCAGGCCCTGCAGAGGCCGGGAAAAGGACAGGCAACTAACTGCAAGGCAGTTGCACAGCATAAAATGCGGCAGCAGAGCAAAGGTCAGACGGCGAGGCACCGCCTCGCCAAAGAGAGGGAGCAGAAATGCCCAGTCCCGGGCCAGCCCGGCGCTGACCATCGAGGGGAGAGGCAGAAGGGGAGAAAAGCCAGTCCGTCATGACTCCGAAGGGGAAAGAAAAACCTACGTCGAGCATAGGCCGCTGCGGCGGGCTCTGGAGATCTACGGCAGAGCTGGCACCATGGGCACCGAGCCCGGGGTGGGCGAGCCGCCCAGGGCGAGGGCGCCCGCCGGACTCTAAAGGTGGCTCCTTACGTAGCCTAGAGTCTCCCGTTCCAGCGCCCGAGGCGGGTGGTGGCAGGAGGAAAGAGGCCAGGCCAGAGGCAAACTCCCGGGGCACGCATGGGGCTTCCCTAGTCAGAGTAGGGGGAAGCCGGGCTTGGTAATGTCCTGGGTTGGAAACGCCGGTGCCAGGCTGTGAATACCCTCCGCGCCGTGCCGGCCCAGCCCAGGGCGTCCGGGAGCTGCGGCGCACCGCAGCGACTCAAGGAGGCGCAGGGAGAGGGAAGGAACACTGAGGCGCGCCTAGAAATAGCGCACCATTTGCCCCAGCCCAAAGGGGAGTCGCGTCGCGGCTCAGAGTGGGTCAGTTTCGGATTCCGAAACCGGCCAGGGACTTACTTTGAGGAGCCGCAGAATCACAAGCATTGCTTCACGTCTGTGCAAATCCCCTAACCCGAGCGGGTCAGAAGCCACTGTCCTCGCAGACGCCGGCTGAAGGAACCGGCACGGCTTCCTGCGCTCGGCAGCGCCAGCTCCGCGCTGTCAGCTTCTCTCGCAGCCTCCGCGGCGATGTTGCAACCACTGCCTGGGAAAATGGCTTTTTTATGAATGGGAGGGAAGGGAGCTCCAGTGCGCACGCGCGTCGTTCGCGATTCTATGAATGGGTGGGCACAAGAGACCCCCGCGCGCGCATGCGCCGAGCTCCTTTTTTTTTCTTTTCTTTTTTTTTTATGAATGGGGGGCCGGAAAAGAACTTAACCCGTGATTGTTGGGGCTGGCTCTCGCTCCTCCAGGGGCCGTCGTTCTTTTACAAAGACGGGCAGAGGTTGTTGTTGCCCCCCGCCTTTTTTTTTTTAAATGAATGGAGGGCGGCGGTGACTGCTGCAGCTGGCTCAGCTGCGCGGGCTGTGCCCCCTCCCAGCCTGCGAGAGGAGGTAAAGGCCACCTTCAAGCCAATGCGGGCCTGGGCTGGAACCGTCAGTTTCGCTGGCGGGG